TATGGTTGAATTTTGTTTATTTGTTATGTATTTGATATAACAAAAAACGTAATTCAATTTGCTTACTATTGCTTAAAAGGACAAAGAGAATAGGTGAAGGGTGGCACTAATATGTTTTGTAAATACTATATTGAAATTTTATATATATGTATATACGTATATTTTTTTGCTTTTCGTAATATAACGGAAATGAAATCATGTCAATAAAATCAAAATTCATACATAAAAATAGTAAATGACAGGAACTGAAGTTGATTAAAAATTACGTAAATGCCCTTTATACAACTACATTTGTTATGAGATGTTAAAATTGTACATAGATAGATTATATATATATGTATATAGCATTTGTCTGTATATAATATATATAAGATTTGAAATAAATTTTGTAAATATAATTTTATTTGAAAGTTTGAAATTGAATTTTGAATTTTATTTAAACAATTATCAGTATTAATATGCTTAAAATATATTTGAAATAAGTGAAGTACAAATAACAGTAATTATTTTATTAACTGTTAACTGTTATTAATAGGTTCTTGAGTGTTACGGGCTTTTACAGATGTAGCTCGGAGTAAAGTAAGATTTTACTGGGTTCCGCGTTACAGAGGAGTATTGGGAAATTAACAAGCTTATGAACTAGCCAGAACACTTTTATACAAAACAAATAATCAAGTAGAGCGAGAATCATATGCGGCTAAGGTATTGGGAAGAGAACTCAGAACTTAGACAAAACAAAGCACTGATCAAACCGTATTCCTACAAAAACATTCTAAAATTCTCAAAAGGTAATTTGAGGTTGATGACGGGTTTCATTACGGGTCATTATGGTCTAATATATCACCTTCATAAACTACGGTTATCTGTTAATCTGTAGATTATGCCTCGAAGATGGGGAAACTGCTATGCACATTCGTTGTGACTGTGTAGTTTAACAACGCACAGAAGAAATTTATAATTCTAAAGTTTTTTGTTATACTCAAACAATTCTGATATAAAGACTTAGATAAGGGTCCCCATTAGCAATTTGCGTGTTATAATTCCAATGAGTTGTTTCGGTAAAGTGATATTTGTTTTCTCGATTTCGTAATATATTTCCCTTCTTTCGCCTACAAAATGCCTTCGGGGTTACAAGTGAAGATGCTTCTATTTCAACACTTACACAAAAACGGTTTCTAGCACCAACAATGATATTTCATTTTACATAGTATGTTTAAAATTTGATTATTTTTTTACAATGTCTCGTGATACACATGCAATCTATGGTATAGGTAGTTGTTTATTATTTTAAAAAAATGGAGTAAATATACAATTCATTATTTTTCATTACATTAGTAGTTCATTATTTTATAATGACGATTTATAAATATATAGATTTATCTATTTGCTAAATAAAATGACTTGAATCAATAGTAAATTGTAGAGAAATTAAATTTTTTTTTTTATTACCCGTGCTGGTAATAAAGCAGGACCATTTGGACAACAAACAGGACCATTTTTATGACTACAAATTATTTTTGTATATTCTTTTGTTACCAAATTTGATATCTTTTAACTTTCTGCTTTTGTTTCTTACCTGTCCTTTGTAATAACTATATTCGCAATTTAATAATAAAGCAAATATACTAAGTCACTGAAATTAACTGTATTAAACTAATTTTTGCTGGAGCATATTCTATTTTTTTAATTGATACTAGGTATGTTTGTGTGTTAATTGCTTTATTTATTATCGTGACTATTCCTGTATTTTTCTTCCGAAATTAAGCTGCACACATTTATTAAGGTAAGCAGAAATTTATTGGTTTGATATTTTTTTTCATATAATTCAAAAATACAACAAATCTGATTTAACAACCTAAGATCTATAAGTGTTATAAGAACTTTCAACTTTATATAAATATCAATCTAAGAATACCCCAAAATCCATAGAATGAATTTATAATTGTTTTGGTTTGGTATAATCATTATTTCTAGGCATTTCATTATCAGTTTCTTCATCACGTAATGAGATTTACATGCCTGACTGTGAGTCAAGATGTCTATTCTCCGGTTTCGGTTAGTTTGTTTACGGCGGAAATAAGTACAGCTATTTATTGCATTTATTATGTTCTTTGTTTTTTGAACAAGTATGACCCAGCCTATAAACTGACTAATTGTTTTTAAATAGTTGATTCTGTTGACTAATTATGACTTTTACTAATAATAATGTAATAATGTAATTATGTATATAAATATAAAAAAAATAATCGAACAGTTTCGATAAACTATCATTAAAGCACGTGAACTTAGTAAGTTTAATTGCGATGCATTATTAGATTGGGTATGCTGTGGCCCTTGGTTTTTTTTTTACTTAATAAGCGAATATATTTTTTTTACAAATATATTACTTACAATTTTTTTAATAGAATTCTCCCTCAATTAAAACAAGACGGATTAATTATATGCATTTTAGGGTAGTTATCAAAAGTATATTAGAGCATGAATAATATGGCATCCTCTTTAAATCACAAGAGGAATTAAATAAATAAATTGAAATATGTATTTGATGTCATGAGGATATAATACTTCACTGATTTTAATTTCAAATAAAAGTTACAAAACTAATGAAATAAAATGTCTGAATTAAAAGTAATTCAGTTCAAATAATATACATTCACATCATCAATACCAGAACAACAATTTGCAATTTAGGAAAAATAACTCTTTTTGTAAATCAGTCAACCATCTATGAAAAAGAAAGGAATGAAAAATAAAATTAAATTGCAATCATTCATTAAATTCACATCAGCGTAAAAGCGTCAGGGTTTTTATGTGTTTCACTTTTTCTATAATAAAAATGCATAATTTTTGATGTGTTGTACATATATATACATATATATATGTATATATATTTACGAGAGTACATCTATATTGGTTTTATCTAACTTTAATCATATACCCTATACGAGTACTATAAACAAAATTTTTGGTCAGTTTTTTATACATACGTTTTTCATGTAAGTGCTGGAATTTTATTATGGCGCTTTTTGTTCTTCCTCTTAAGTTGTATTACGGATGTTCTTTTTATTTCGCATTTATAGCGAACAAAG